CTGATGCTCAGCTCTCTTCCATAGAAGTCTTCCTGCACGTATCTCCTGCCTGTCCTCTAACACGCTTCATCTCTAGATTATTCCATCAAATGCATGGCTAGAGCTAGTTGACTGTAGCTGATGGGGAAGGAGCAGCAAGCTGGAAAAGAACTGAGATCAAGAGGAATGAATGCCACGCCACAAGGCACGGAGATCCTGACAGTTAAGTATCACACCACTGAACAAAAGAATCCAACTGAGGGGGCTGGAGAGATGGCTCAGAGGTAAAGAGCACTGGCTGCTCTTCCAGAGGTCCTGAGTTCAATTCCCAGCAACCACATGGTGGCTCACAACCATCTGTAATATCTGGTGTCCTCTTCTGTACTGCAGGATACATGCAGGAAGAACCCTGTATACATAATAAATAAAAAAAATATTAAAAAAAACCAAAAACAACTGAAAGTCCAGCAGGATGGCCCAGTGGGTAAAGGTGCTTGAGGGGCATACCTGAAGACCAGAGTTTGATCCCCAGAATTCACACAAAGGTGGAATTCACACAAAGGTGGAGGGCAGAGAATCAGTTCCACAAAGTTGTCATCTGACCTCCACAAGGTACACCACTGTGCCATGCAACACACACACACACACACACACACACAGAGACACACACCTCAAGCACTTTAAAAGAGAGAACTCTCAAATGAAAAAAGAACAGTGCTTGCGAATCATCCCTCACTCCCCCCACTCTTGTCAGGAACCAAAGATTCCATGGGAGGCAGCAGATTTCCAGAGAGGCAGCAGATGACAGCCGGCCGAAACCGGTTTTGCCTCTGTCCATCTCAGCCCCAGGTCTGTCCAGCTGTCTCTCTTTAGTGTGATTAAAAAGTGCTGGAGATTACATCCTTACACTTGGCGCTCTCTTTATGATCCACCTTAGTGGCTGTATGTATGTTGAACATCCACATTACTGTGCAAAGCTGTGTGCACAAAGCCATACGTACTGTGCTTTATGGAAAATTTAAGAGCGTTTCAGAGGTAATTGGAACCATATGTGCTTTTCCCCTCCTGGGCTGTGGGAGGGAGATGAATCTCGAGATAGGCAAGGATTTGCCCTGGAGGTTTGCTAGGCTGAGGTAAGGAGCCAGACTTGCTCTCAAGACCAGAAGGAGCTATTAAAAGGCTTGGAGAGGGAGGCTTTAGAGGGGCCGGACAAAGGTAAAATAAACAGAGTTGGGGGTGGAGGGTACATCTACACTTAAAGCAGTAAATCCTAAACCAGTTTTACCCACAGCTCATCTCTGGGCCTCACTTCCTCATCTATAAAGGAAAGCCACAGTTGAGGGCTGCAGAACCATGGGGTCACCCTGCCCAGGAACCAGACCCACCACTTTAGGCTGGCTGGCAGAGGTAATCCTTCTGTCCAGAGTCTGGTTCTCTGCCTGCAGGGCTGGTATACCAAAGTTAGGGAAGAGCTTGGGGAAGCTTCTTCAGGCCTATCCATGGCCTGCTTTCCAGCCTCAGACACTCTTAAAACTTCCTGGGCCAGTGAGACAGTGCCTCGTGCCTCATTGTGCAGCCTTCAGCAAACACCACAGCCCCATGGAGGCCTACAGAAAAGCTCCCATAATAACTGTGCAATAATAAAAAGATAAAGAGGCAAATAGGTATGTAGGTCAGCTCAAAAATAGCCACCCACCCACTTAGCCTGGTAACCATTGGTGCCAGGTGGGGACAAAGAATTGGTTTGCTGGCTCTGCCCAACTGATCTGCCCTTCTCTTCTCAAGGTCGCCTGAACTTTTTTAAAGTCCCTGACTGCACTACTGGGGGGTGTAAGGTGATAGTAGACCGCAGGTCCGGCTCCCTCCCAGCAACCCATCCCCCACAATTCCCCCAGCTCCAAGTAAATCCTGGGTCAGAGAACAGAGGTTGGCCTCTCTGGCTTAGTAGGTTATTGGGGCTAAGTGAGGGTTTAGGGTGATGACTCACACAAACCCCCACCCCACCCCCACCGTCCTTTAAGTTGTCTGTGCATGCAAGGCCCCCCACCCCCACCCTTACAGAGCCCGCTTTGTTAGCACGACCCCACCCTAACAGCCTCAGGGCTGTGAGGGCCTCCTTGGCCTTTCCCTCCTTTTCGATCCCTCCCAGACCCTCTCCAGAGAAGTGCGGGCCCCACTGGCCCGCCCCCACCCCTAGCCGCAGCCAAAGTGCTGAGCTCAGCATCTTAGCAGCCGGCTGCCTGGATGGTGGGCGGAGTCTGATAAGCCCCGCCCCTTTCCCCCTCTCTGTTCACTCCCCTCCTCCGGTTTCCCCCAGAGGCACGTTCTCTGAGTCACGTCCTCGCTTTCCCCTCTGCAGGGGGTTGGTGGGGAAAGGTGCCCCCACTCCTAGTCAGCTGCTCTGCATCTGTCACCTCGGTAGCCCCGCTCCTCGAGAGCACCTCAGTTTGAGAGGAGGGGAGACAGAACGAGCAGCGCCCCCCCCACCAGTCTCCCCCCTCTCCGCAATGTTTGGCCTCACGGGCCACGGCAGACGTGTGTGTGTGTGTGTGTGTGTGTGTGTGTGTGTGTGTGTGTGTGTGTGTGTGTGTGTGTGTGTGTGTGTGTGTGTGTATGTGTGTACTCTGTAGCACTTACTCTGTAGCCAAGGATGATCTTAAACTTCTCCTCTGTCATCTGCCAGTTGCTGAGACTATAGGCATGTGCCACCTTGCCTGGTTTTGTGCAATGTTGAGTCTTGAACCCAGGGCTTCCTACATGCTGGGCAAGCACTCTACTAAGTGAGCTACAGCCCCAGCCGTGAGATTGCTTTTTACATCAGAATTTAACTGTGGTTCCTGGGGGTCTGTCCCAAAGTCTGTCCCTTTGTGGGTTACACACAGGACAACTAGAGCTGGGAAGACACCCCTCTTCTCACCACTTTTAGGGAAATATCAGAACCTTGCGGGGGTGGGGGGGTGGAGAGTGGAGGTGGATCCCAAAGGGGTAATGTGGTGACAATCACTATCTCCAATGGACTAAGGGTGGTGTCTAGCAAAGGGAAACCCCTTGGGTGTCAGCCTGCCTTTCTTACCGTTTTAGTCAGGACAGCAGTGTGTGTGGGGGGGTGTCCTGCTGAATTCTAAAGAAGAAAGAACGGGATGGGAGAGCACAAAGGCCAAGCCCAGAGGTGTCTTATGTCAACAGCTCCAGGGGACG